TGAAGGGAAATACACCCGTTTAATGCGAATAGATCTTCTATCGTATTGTAATACGTTCTAGTCACGAGGCGATACACTAATTGCATTACAATTTATAACGATAAGAATACCGTTGTGTCGAGTAAATTGCTTAACTATGATTACTATTGTCATACATCGCGTGCATGTACGCTTCTTTGATTTTCATAAAATTGACTTGACTTTTTATAGAATATTCTTACCTTTCACTTTTTCTTGAAACGCAATGATGTTATATAATATTTTAATAAAAAAATTGTGAAAAATTGTGAAAAAATTTATGTGTGCATGTGTATGGCAAAAAAATCTTTCGCACGACAATTTACGTTTCTTCTTTGAGACCAAACGTTGTTATAGAATTAGATTGCTAAAAAAAGTTCTCATCGCACACACATACACCCACACATCAGTAATTCATCTTAAATTATAGTCTATCATTATCTAACATAAAAGTTAATTATCCAAGAAAAAATTGTGCGAATTTCAACGTAATCTTATAAAAGTTCACGAAATACATACTTCTTTGTGTGAACAATAGCACGCAAACTTTTTAATTACATTGCGGAAAAGAATGTAACATGTGAAAGTTAGAGTCACAATGACGTTTTTTTACGAAATTTTATGTGATATCGTGATTTAAAAAACGCAACGTTGATATCAAATTTATTAAAAATTTAGTATCAAAAAGTTGATATTAATTAAATGACTTTTTGATATTTTAAAATAAAATAACAGTCGAAATCAAATTTCATGAAACTACTTAATTTGCAATAACTATTATACGGAAGTAATATGAGGTATAAGAAAGAAAAGAAAAAAAGTTTGATTTACTCCTTCAAATTTTACTATGTTGTTTTGCAGAACGAACCTACTTTTTATAATTTAAAATTTTTTTAAATAAAAGTATGTACTAACGTATAATTTTCTTAAAAACATTATACAAATGTTACGTATGTAAATTACGTATGTACATTATACAAATGTTACGTAAATAAATTTTATAAGATCCTTAAGTAAATAAATTTTATAAGATTCTTATGTAAATAAATTTTGTAAATTGTGACGTCCATGAAGACAAATAATTTGGACAATGTTTATAATTCCGAGTTAAAAGATTAATTAATTCTATCTTCCCAATAGAGAGATACCTATACTACTGCTGGGAAGATAGAATTAATTAATCTTTTCTCCTTGATCCTTTTTTTAACTATTAAAGTTTTGAAAAAAATCAAAATCTTTCCTATACTACTAAATCTTTTGACATTTATTGCCACGATTTATATTGACACATTGTCTATGAGAAATTGGTTTTAATAACGATCTAGGATGCAAGATTTAATTTCCGCGACAGCGGGACATTCTAGGAAGCCTCTGCCTCCGGGTTTAAACGAAATACTCTTGGACCGATACTTCCACGACGGGAAGACCAACGATGTAGCCGTAGATTACGCCGCACAGATTATACAACAGGGAAGAGATCATGGCTTGCCACCTTACATCAGATGGCGAAGCTTCTGTGATTTGCCGAATCTCACTGACTTTCAGGATCTGACAGGCACCGTGGCCAAAGATACTATCGAGAGACTTCGAGTAGTCTACAAGTAAGATGAAATATAGGGTGAGATATAATAATAAAGATAACCATGTCTGAGTTCGCATTTTTTATGCCATATTACAATCAGCATCCGTATTTTTCTTTCTTTTTCTTTCCATTTTTTTCTTTCTCACTTAGGATTTAAAATAAATTATTGTCTTAGATTTTACAATAATTGTTAATTTCAATTCAAAAGATCTTGAAGATGTTCTAAAAATTTTATTATTCTGATGATGTATTTCTGTTTAATTTATAGAAATGTAGGGGATATAGATTTGGTAACTGGAGCACTTTCAGAAGCACCAATATTTGATTCTGTACTTGGACCAACATTCCTTTGTTTATTAGGACGAACGTTCCGAAATATTCGTTTAGGTAAATATGTATGACTTTTACATTCTTTATTACGTATTCTGCACAAAATAAGTTTGTCTGAATAATCAACTTCAAATAAGACATTTAAAATTCTATTGATTTTTAATACAGGTGATAGGTATTGGTACGAAAATGGAAATACTCCTGGTTCATTTACAATAAAGCAGTTGGAGGAAGTACGAAAAAGTACAATGGCACAAATTTTATGTCGCAATGGGGATAGGTTACAGTGGATGCAACCGAGAGCTTTTATTCTAAAAGATCCATTCCTGTAATTATATCAATTTTTTAACATAAATTTCTATTAATTGAAAATAAATTTATAGACTAATTATAGCACGAAAACAATCGAATATTATTATTATTATTAGTAGCGCGTCGATATTATTATTAATTAGTAGTGCGTCGATTTTAAATAATAAAATATTTTAATTTAATATTTTCAGAAATGATATGACAAATTGTACGATTCATACAAAAGGAGCCATGGATTTTACAGCTTGGAAAGAAAAAACAGATAAAATTTAATCTAAATTTCATATTCGATCGTCGAATGTTAATATTGCTCATATTAAACAATATATTGTTCCTGATTACATTAGATATCGTAAATTTGAAATTAGCAATACTCTAAAGTCTAATTCTTATATCAATTTGGATATTCGGGTATTACTAAAAAATAATTGATTAGAAATTTGCATTCTTAATTGGATTTCAGATTTGATTCTATTAAATAAAATTTTACTTATAAATAAATATTGGTAGCAATAAGGAAGAAAAAAATTCGTAAAATTATCGATTCTATTGAAAAAAATTTAATTGAGATGCTAAAGCGTCGAGTATCAATACCTCATGTAACGAAAGAGAACTGTTCATAATGATCTCCATCTCATTTCTAATATATATATTTTTTATTTGTTAATACACATTTTGTTGTACTGCTCGTTATAATTTTATTATAAATATTATTACTGCAATTTTGATTTATCTAAACTGTAAGATTACGTAAATACTTTTGGATATGCTCGAATACTCGAATTATGAATATTTAACATAAAAAAATTTTCTAAAGAAACTTGTAATTTGGAATCGAGTACGCTATATATACTAGAGACTAGGGCATAATATATTCTATTTTAATTAGCAATAACGATGATGATGGAGTAATATATTAAAAAATGTATAAAATTCATATGCAAGTTCGATCGATCGAATCAAACACATCTTTGTAATATATGAATATATGATGCTGTACTTCGAATGAGTTTAGTCTCAGGATTTTAACTTATTTTAACTTTGATGTGTATTGCTTTAATACACATGTGTTATTGCTCTAAATAAAATAATTTAACAGTATAATGTAAAAGTGTCTTATTTTTGTAAAAAAAAGTATGCTATGTATATTAATTAATCATATAAATTTTACATTCAAAAAAGAAATATTTGAATTACTATTAAATATATTTTTATACATATTTTTATATATTTTTATATGTACTTTTATACATATTTTTTAATACAGAATACAAAAATAAATGTTTTAATTTATCTTACATTTGCAAATTAAAAAATTAACATTGTACTGTTATTTATACACAGGATGACTATTAAAGTTGTATTGAAAGTAAACCATTATATTTTTTTCTCCTCCGTTTACAATATTTATATTCAATAATAAGAAGGCTTATCCAGGAAGTTTAATGTGATCTAATCTGTTTTAACTTATCCATTTTGAGGCAATGGATGTACAGAATACTATGTTCTTGTTTGTATGTTATTAAATTGATGCATATATGCAATATATATGCATTTGTACAATATACTAACGAAATTACCACACATCCATTGCTTCAATAAAAACGTTAATTTATCACTCACCGACTTGATGCGCAACAGCGGAGTTATATCTGCAACGTCGCTACGATGATTCTGTAACAAAAAAATATAGCCAAATCCAAATTAAAACAGGATAGAAAAAAAATCAATATTTAAAAAAGTATTTATAAACGCAAAGTTTTCTTAAAAATAATCATATAATTTTTGTAAGCATCGAATTTTTTAATTTTCAGCTAAGTATTTATAAAAATAATTATATATTTTCTAAAAAAGATTTTAAAAATACATTTCTATACAAAATTTCAAAATAATTTTAAAATAATCTTTTTTTCTAATCATTTTTAAATAATTGTAAAAATAAAACGATTGAAAGTATACGTTACGTGCACTACAGATTTTCACTGGCAGTGAATATCGGAACGCACCCATAGTCAGATCTTATATTCAAGACCGTCTTAAGAAGTCTAATTAGAGGGCCGTATTAGCATCTTAAGATATTACTTAAGACAGTCTTGAAATAAGAACGGACTATGAATACCGCCCTACGAGCGATATCGAAAAGGCAGGCAGTAGAAATCAATTGTATTATTTGCATAAGAGTACTGATTAACTACCGTTTTATAACGATGAGTATATATTTGTAATCCGATTTGAGATCGTTTTATAACGATGGATATATTTGTGACGAGGGTATACGTTAGCGTCCCCGTCGTTTGATTTTTACATAAAGAGAAAACGATTTTACTCAAGTATCTAAAAATTTACCTAGGTATATCATTCAGACAGATTCGAAAATTTTTAGATAATTGAAAAAAAACCGTTTTTTTCGTGTATATCCTAGTTGCCGTCAGCATTTCCACCAAGGGTTTAAGGGTCATCTACATAGAAGTCTAAAGCCTCGTCTACAATAGCCGCACAGATTGTGTCGGATGTCGCTCGAGTAGTAGCATCGCAGGAAAATTTGTCGAATGCCGCAAGAGTGTCACTAAATGAACGTCTACAATAGTCACAATGATTGTTTGCACGCAATTCGATGATAAATTCTAAACGTCAACTTGCTGTGCTGTGATTGGCTGAGCTGAGAATAAAGTCTGCAAAAATAAAAAAATCATATTTCTTAGTTTAAAATATATAGTGATATAATTTTTTAAAAATATATTACCGTGTATATTATTATAAATTGTAATTGAATGTGCAGGCCACAGCGAGATCCATTTTATGACACCGAATCCGAGCAAAGAGATATAAAGGTAGAAGAGGACGCGAAGAAAGCAAAACAGCGGCAGATTTATGTAAAACGCGTTATCGTCCATCCATCCTTCCATAATATCAGTTTCGCCGAGACTGTAAAATTAATGCAGACAATGAAGCAGAGCGAGGCAATAGTGAGACCGAGCAGCAAAGGCGCCGACCATTTGACAGTCACGTGGAAAGTCACTGATGACATTTTACAGCACATCGATGTTCGTGAGGAGGGTAAAGAGAATGCTTTTTCATTGGGACAAAGCCTATGGATAGGCAACGAGGAATTTGAAGATCTAGACGAGATTATCGCTCGACATGTAAATCCTATGGCTGCTTATGCCTCCGAATTGCTAGATTTCAAATACTACAAGCCCACTGTAGAGGGAATCAAGGATAAAGCGGAGGAGATACTAAAAGAACAGAAAAAGGAGAATCCTAATGGAATTCCATATATCATATCAGCAGCTAAGGTAAATAAGCGTATATATAGCTAATTTTTTACTAGTATGTAACATAGCATTTTTCTGAAAATCTTTTTATTTTTAATTTAAAAAACAATTTCGTTTGTTTTTCTTTCATAGACTTATCCTGGAAAGTTCTTACTCTCGTATCTGCCGCGCACTCGTTGCCGTCACGAGTACGTCACCGTGACATCCGAGGGCTTCAGATTTCGGGCGCAAATGTTCGGTAGAGTAAGCGACCTATTACGCTGGTTTAAGGAACACTTTAGGGATCCCGTTCCTGGACAATCTACTCCTAGTACACCGCGCGGTGCGATGACTTCTAGAACACCTTACACTACTACGCCAGGAACAGTCAGCGGTAAGTCTACATTGTCACTGTAAACTATTGTCAGTCACTCTTAAATCATAGTATAGATCAAACCGTATATTTTATTTTTAAAAAAAAACTTCATTTTTCAAAATTAAGCCATTCTGTACACACACACACACACATTCTATGTTATTAATTATTTTACTTATTTTTCGCATACATTCGCTGAAATGAAATAAAACGCACAAGTACAAACATGCAATTTTGTCATAAGTGAAATGAAATGTACAAATATATGTGTCGATTACTATTACAATTGCTACTGTTTCAGGAATGAATCAAGAAGCAATACAGCGAGTTGCACAGAATCTTCCACATCACATGTTACACTCGTTATCACAAGTGGCGAATCAAACGCCGCATCATTATCCGCCACACACCCCGGGAGCGGCTAGTACTACCGGCTATGGCGAAGGACACACGTATACAGTCCCAATACGCCGTACACGCCGTCTGGTCAAACTCCGTTTATGACCCCGTACCAGACGCCGCATCATAGCCAGCCCACTCCCAGATACGGTCAACAAACCCCTAGCCATCATCAAGGGCCCTTTGTACATCCGCCGCCGCCCTCGATGACACCCAGCCATCACAGGTCTGCTCAATCGCACAGACCTACACCACCCCTGTCTACTCCTTCCGGTGATCCCATGGATTGGAAGAAAGCCGCCGAAGCATGGGCACGTTTAAAAAGCGGTCCTCGAGTCTCGTAAGTATAATAAGTAAATACGGATTAAATAACAATTATTTTCAATTTTTCAATTGAAAATTGTTGATGTATATAAGACGTCAGTGTTTTTCGTTCGATTATCATCAATGGTTAAATGTGCTTGCAGCGGATCGACGCCTAGATACGAAGAGTCTAGAAAAACTCCGCGTAGCTATGACGAGTCATCTGGCAGAACGACGCCTTCCGGAAGGAGTAGACCCTCCACACGTACTCCATCGTATAAATCTCCGCGAGGTACTCCACACACGAATTCTAGTCCACGGAGTATGTCCCTCAGCGGAGATGGTACTCCTTTATACGACGAGAGCTAACGGGATTGTGCATAGCTGATTTATATTTATTAGTTACGTCTCATATCATGCTATGTATGAAATAGTAAGAGTACGCGTCTCAAAACATCGTTGATCGCTCGCGTCGAATCGATCATTGATCGCTGTAGACATGCAACATGCGTAGTGAATTCCACTTTCTTGCACGCGAGATTTTGTTTGCGAATCAAGAAAGGAATCGTCGATTGGTTATTATAAACTACGGTGTTGTACTGTAATTTATTTATTATGTAATATTTTCGCGGTTTCTTCCTATGTACATAATACAATTTTATGGAAACTTTATGAAGGCCTCATGAACACGCTCTGCAATTTCTTGATTCACTTTCCTACACATTGATGGCATCAATGAGAAAAATAATTTGAATAAAAAATTGGAATTTACTATAATTTACGAACGGTTCTTATTTATCAGTGACTATAGAAAGATATTAAATATAAGACTACGGTCAAAATAGAATCATAATATTTTACAAGATTATATTTTATCTTGATTTTAGTCAAGATATATATTTTACATTAGAGTCATAATATTTTATGGGCATTGATAGGATAGCGTTGAAAAATAATTGTAACTGAATTATTGTTCAAAAATATTTTATATTTTTCATTGATGCCATTATGTTCATAATATAGCGAATTGATCTAATTACTTATCGTATCAATAATATAATATCTCTTAAATATAAATATCGCTATAATAAATAATTGTTTACAGATTTCTATACATAAATACCTGGACTGCTATGTCACAATCAGAAAAATGAAAGTACTCCAAATGGTCTCAAGATTCATAAGATATTAAATGTATGGATTCACATGACATAACTAAAAAACTTGCCTCAGACTAATTCATAACTAGTACGTTAACGATCTAGATATTCTATAGAAATCTGTCTTATATATCTTAAGTCTTTATAAGAAAATATCTGTACAATATTTAAATTGTTCAAAATAATGGCATTTACTTGACATTGTTAAAGCTTGCAGTTAATTTTAATGTTTTATTTAATCCTTGAATAAAGACGAAAGATGATTATCTTTTATATTTGTATCTATCGACTATAAAAAAAAAGAAATAACATTCACAAGATAACGACAAAAAACTCCAAAAAGCAGGGCGAATGAGAGTCAGCGTGGTAATTAATACGCAATCTTAAATCCTCAATCCAAAAAATAGAATCTTTATTCCAAAAAATAGGTACGTTTCAGTTTACTTTGGAACCATCTTCAGCAAAACAAAGATATCAATCCCTTCATGTCCAAGAAAAAATCACCATCAGATTAGCAGATTTGATGTTATAATCTATTCGAAACATTAAAATGATCTTATAAATATTTCTATTGAACAAGTTTCAAATTAAAATTAAAACTGGTGACTCACCCCAAGACATAGAAGGAATTCGTCTCAACATTGGATCAACTAATTACAATTAATATTCACAAAAGAGTATCAAAATAAAAAACGCATGTTGATCGCAGCTCGAACGAAACATGACTAATACATTTAATATAATAAGACAGACATGTCAGGTCAACCATGCAAATAAAAAGAAAAAGAAAAAAGGACAATGTTAATACATAAACAAAAATTTTTGTATAACCGAAAACATATAACTATTTGATGTCTTTTAATAATTGAATATTAGTACGATGTACACCTTCAGTATCTGAGCGGAAATTTAGACTATTTTGTTGCACATTAGTATATATGAAGGCATTCAGATATTAAACGCTTATTAAGAAAATGCTCATCTAAATTTTTTAATAGATTTTAGATGAAGAGCGTTTTCTTAATAAGCGTTTAATATCTGAATGCCTTCATATATACTCTAATGCAACAAAATAGTCTAAATTTCCGCTCAGATACTGAAGGTGTACATCGTACTAATATTCAATTATTAAAAGACATCAAATAGTTATATGTTTTCGGTTATACAAAAATTTTTGTTTATGTATTAACATTGTCCTTTTTTCTTTTTCTTTTTATTTGCATGGTTGACCTGACATGTCTGTCTTATTATATTAAATGTATTAGTCATATTTCGTTCGAGCTGCGATCAACATGCGTTTTTTATTTTGATACTCTTTACTGAATATTAATTGTAATTAGTTGATCCAATGTTGAGACGAATTCCTTCTATGTCTTGGGGTGAGTCACCAGTTTTAATTTTAATTTGAAACTTGTTCAATAGAAATATTTATAAGATCATTTTAATGTTTCGAATAGATTATAACATCAAATCTGCTAATCTGATGATGATTTTTTCTTGGACATGAAGGGATTGATATCTTTGTTTTGCTGAAGATGGTTCCAAAGTGAACTGAAACGTATCTATTTTTTGGAATAAAGATTCTATTTTTTGGATTGAGGATTTAAGATTGCGTATTAATTACCACGTTGACTCTCATTCGCCTTGTTTTTTTGGAGTTTTTTGTTGTTGAATTTGCGAGAGTCCGTAAGAAGACATTATTATTGTTCACAAGAATATATACATATATGAATATATACATATATGATGATAAATATGTACATATATATGAAGAATATATACATATATGATGATAAATATGTAGAAAAATACTTTTTTTTTTAATTAAATTTTCGCGTGTTTGTTATCAATGCACAAAATCTTGAGACAGTGGTAGTATCTCGGCGCTAAGCTACGCGCAGCAACATAATATTTATACGGAATTACCGTCCGAGATTATACAACCGATTCTTCGTCCTCCGATAGGGTGTCTTCTGATTTCGAAATACTTTTATAATAATTATATGTCACATTTGGCCGCTCCCTTAATGCCATGGTATATCGTGATTTTGAATTTACATTTTTGTTTATCTTACAATTGCACTCATACTGCGTAAAAAAGATACAATATAATTTCTTTCTTGAAAATATATGATTAGCAAAATAACTGTTACGATTGATTTCAATGTTACCTTTCGCTGAAATGCTTTTTGCTCCTCTTCGTCGCTGGAAGAATCGGGAAAGCTCATCAACTTCCGTCGTTTACGATAAACAGATTTCCTCGAGTTATCAGATCTCTTTGAATTGTTCGTAGCATTGACCTTATATGATGTTTTAGGATCTTGACTCTTTTCAATAACAATCGTTTAAATTTAAAAAATCCATAAATTTTTTGTTAATGAACTTATTTTTAACAGAAATATAATTATATAAACTTACTTGATTTTTGTTTATATCTGAAGTATTTGATTCAGGCATTATTTGTTTATTTACATTTTGCTTCTGTGATGTATTCTTAGAAGTCCCATTTTGTTTATTTGTTTCTTTATCAGTATCCTTCACAACAAAATATATACAATTATAATAAAAGCAGATGTAAATATTATAATTATAGAAATTTTTACCTTAGTATTCCTTTGAATTTCTCTTGAGTTATCAATCTGTGAACGAAACGATGATTCCTGTGAACTGCCCGGACTATAGACTACATTGTTATCTTTCAACGTTATACGTTCACCTGTAAAAAAAAATAATAAAAAATAGCTTTAGATTATTTATCTATTTTTGTAAAAAAATTAATGTATCTTTTCACATTTTTATTATTAATCTACTCACCTGTCCAGTAACATAATGGAGGTAAAATATGACGACCCCTCTTACTAACAGGTGCATTTAGCGAGTCCACTGTTGCATCATGAGAGTTCTGACTAATTTCTTGAATATTATCTAGAAAACGAAAATAAATGCGACACATGAACATATAATATTTATTAAAAGTTAAATATATTTTAAGAAACTTACCTTGCTGCAACGTTTTCCAAGTCAGACAAAATTGCTCGATCGAAGGACACCCATAACGACATTGTTTTGCAAGTTCCTTGGGAATAACTAAATATGATAAAGTAATATTGTTAATTGATAAATATTTATCAACGTACAATGATACAACGTTAATGATTTTGGATACTTTACTATGCTTATTGTCGTTTAAATTTCCAAGAAGTTCAAAGAATTCATGATTCACTGATTCGACTAGTGTCGCTGATAATCGCTTCAGCACAATGCCTGTCGTATAATTTCTGTGCATAACGTGGCCAGCTTCACTATATAGTAAAAAGAAAAAACAAAATATATTGTTTAATTATTAATTATATATATTATATGTAACTGTAATTATTTGATTATTAGACATACCTATTATCTAAGAGAGAACTTACTTGACTAATTTTCCTTGAAAAGTTAAACCTAATCCAGATTTTGATTTTGCATAACGTATTACTTTTGGCATCCATGCAGTCAACCTTTTGGGATTTTTTTTTAATCCACACTGTTCTTTGCTGCTTTTAGGTTGCTCAGTTGTTGGATTCGTCGTCAGATTAGTAGAATTTACATCATGCAATTTATTGTTATTTGTTATTGGATAAACCTCTCTTTTATTGTCAATTATCTTCGTAGGAGAATCATTAACCACAGATTTTGAAGCAATTGACATGAAGTTCTTATTAATGTTTTCCGATGGCCGAATATTTTTATTCTGTTTATTGTCATTGTTGATTATCTTGGAAAACAATTGCTCAGTATTTGTATTCAAGTTTTTTCTACTTATTCTCATCTTCAAATTTACCGGTACCGAACTGATTATGGTAGGTTTGGATTTTTTCATCACAATATCGTTTTTCGTTTGTTCGATAAATTCTCTATGTAATTTTGAAGAGATGTTGGATTTTTTAGAAAACTCATTTTCGCTGATTGTCATAATGTCTTGGTTCACCTTAGCTGGTGATGCTGTTACATTTCTACCTGCTGTTCGTGAACTTACGGTTACAATGTTGACATTAGAATTGATAGTATCAACATTTGAAACAAACTGTGAATGTACATTGTTTTGATATGGAATCTTTTGCTCCTTTATAAAAACATCCGAATTAACTCTTTGTGTGTCAAAAGCATTAATTGGATGTTTATTTTGTACATGCATTACAGATTTGCCTTTCTCATACACTTCAAAATTTTTCTCTATTTCTCGACCACTGGAATAAGTCATTTTTTGTGATCTTGGACTAATAGGTATTGTTTGGCGACACTTCCTCATGTTGTGTGCTGTTCCCACTTCATCTTCTGTTATACTGACGCAGGATTCATTTGGAAGTAATTTTTTCTCTTCATTCATTACCATATGGCTAGACTTAATTTCTTTTGTATTGTACGTCAGATTCATCGTATGTTTCTGAGTGTCCGGATAAGTCGTTTTCTTTTTCACTTTACGTTTATATATTTTTCCAGGTGATTCTCTAGCTTTTAAAACTGATTCAATCGATATTTTGCGTATACCCGCATAAATCTCGCTCTCCAATTTGTCTGAATTGTTGTCGTGTCCCGGTCTAAGATTTGCTGAATTCGATAACTGGATAGTACCAGAATCATTTTTTATGCTTCCGTATCCCGGATCGATGGGGTGTCCCATTGTGCAGCTTTTTAATTCCATTGATTTGTTTCGAAGCTTATT